GTTTAAAAGCCGTATAAGCCCAATGACGGTGTCGTGACAAGGTCGATGTGACTGGCCTTTTAAAACTAAAGTCATTGACCCCCTCACTTCCGAGGCGAGGGATTACTTCCTGCTGCCTTGCAGTTCGCACTGGGTCGTGCAAAAGCTAGAGGTGCGCCCTCAAAATAAAAAACGCCGAGTGACTCTGAGGACGTCTCTCGTACCAAACTCCCAAGGAGCTTCATGATCATGTCTGGAGCCGGCTCATCCTTTCCAAGGAGACAGCTGCACTAAAGTCAAGTAAATAGCGAAAGGCGATTACGGATCAAGGACGGACCCAAAGAAAGTGTATGCGCCAACCGAAAGCCAACCTGCATAAAAGAAACCAACCCCAATGAAACTGCGGCTCGAACATATACTCGTCATCACCAAAACGATGAACGCGGTTGGTTCCCATGATGGTGACAAACTCTTTCATTGGATGCATGGACGTACACGAGCGTGTAGCCCTTATCTTTGTTCCGTTCCCATGGGCTGCAGCACTGCCCTGACCCTTGTAACGTGCCTGGTTACAAACAGAATAGACATGTCCAACTTTTATCATTTAAGTTGCTCAATTTAACAGGATCAAGGTTTGTGTGAGCTAACGACTTCTTACAGAGGAGTATAAATCATCAGTAATCAGGTTTATATCATCTATGAGAAACATGAGACCTCGAATGTAGGAGAAAACGGCAGAACAGATCGCAAACGTTGACGTGACAGCAACGCAGTGTAACCAATACGGGACGTAACGTGACGTTGGTTTCAGGCAGTGCAACTTGGGACCATTCGTATCTTTGATCTATTCTTCCGGGACGCGCCTATTTACTAAGCACCCTAAGTGGGCATGGATACAAAGTTTCCAATGGATGATTGGGGTGCTTCAAAGACTGTCACAACATCGACGGTGAAACGATGATTAGAGAGGAGGCAGCTGTCGATCGCGTGATCGTGATAGATTGTCCGGTTTAACGCTTCAAGGAAAAACATGGCTGAGGCAAAAGAAAACGCTTGCAATGTAAAAAACAGGAAAAGCTTGATGTTGAACCGTGATGAAAGCGCAACCTCACGTAATATTGCTATTTAACCAGAACGTAGAGGTGGCGATATAGGCGAGGACTGACTGGAAATAGAACACTGAAGATGCGATAGTTCAGTATTCCGTTTTTTAGTGTGGATTTTGGGTGATTCTCCACGGTTTTGTGCTTTAAAGTACACAGTACACTGTTTTGATTTTAGACGAAGGTTAAGTGTGAATGAATATACAATTACCTGTTTTTTCCTAGCAACCAATCAGATAACCTATGGTTTTATGCTACAGAGTTTAAGTTACACACCCCAATACAATTATCAATGCCAATTTTCAGTACGTCTTAGGGCCAAACAATAACTAAGCAAAAACCAGTTAAACTGACCTATTATAGCCAAAGCGGGACCGAGTTAGGAAGAGCAGAGTAAATTCCAAACCAGAAAATACCAGGAGGTATAGAAACCAGACGAGACTCACTCTTCGCAGACAGATGTCACCTGTAAAAACGGAAAGTAACACATGGTTGACAAACAGGTAATTGCGCAGAATAGAAACGTGAACACTGAAAATTGCGAAGCTGTAAGTGGGTCAGATCAACACGTTTGTCGACAATTGGGTAAGGGAACTGCAAATACGGTTGTATCAAGCAGAGAAACTCAAACAGTAGACGTACTCGATCTCCGCCACCAGTGCTCATAGCAGAGCAGGTGTGAAAGTCAAACTGAGTGGCTGACATTGGGATCAGGTGTGGCTGAGTCGTACCACGTCAAACCAAGCTGTAGGCATCCGGGTGACAAAATTTCTTTGACTATGGTGGCACACCATATATCGCGCAATATAAAATTAAGCACACCATTTGAATGGTCACTCACTGTGGTTGATTTTTGTTTTGTAATTACCTGAATGGGGTTTATTTTAACTAAGTGAATATAATCGAACAATGATTGAGTCAACCAGTCGCGACGGTGCAACCGAACACTACCAATAAAAGTCACAATCTTATTGGTCAATTAATTTTTTGTCTTTAATTGTTTGACAACATTCACAGGTCTTTTAATCCAATGATTAACTGGCGTGCTTATTGTGCTCAGCTCGCGTTTTTCTCATTTACTAGCAGCTGAAAAAGAAGTCGAAACGGTCACTCCTTATTCAATTGCCATTTTGCGTGTAGCAAGTATACGCTGAGATGCAATGAAGCGTCTCGAGCGTAGTTGGAGCGAACTGCACAATCACGAAGACTCAATGTTCGATTATGAGAACACAGATAATAGACAAAACTGTGTCCTTAACGCGAGAAACAAGTTCAACGTATAGCTTCAACTTGTCTTATTCACGCTTTCGGTCACTGGGCATACAGACCTTAAAAATTGAAGCAAGAATGAGATCACAGTATTCGTCAGTCCGAAGACCAAAACGAAACAAAAATGCAAAAGCAAACATTTAAAATACCATAAACGCAGATTATGCGAAAATAATACGTTGCCTAACACCCGGAGTATGCTAGTGATTGCGACTTGAGTCGCTCAAACATCATCATCAGCATGTGAAAAATACTCCTTTGGTGACATCACAAATAAATTGCAGTCAATTTCACTTAAAAGATGAAATTAGCAGTGGTGCTGAGCACAAAGAGTGATCCCTTTCAACGGTTGAGCACTGCGGAACCATCTGAAAAAGGTGCCCAGGTAAGAGACGACACTTAGAAAAAATATAGCAGCTCTTTAAGTAGAAAGCACAATCAAAAAATTAACCAGTGACCTAAAGAAATTATAGGTGCAGAACGCTTGAGATGACCGAGTTTGTCTGAAGCATTACAAAAAGCCATTTCACAAATGGTCGATACCTGTGACCGAAACAAGGCCGTATCGCAGTACCTCAAAGGTGCCTAGCAAAGAAGGAAAACTGAACGATGAAACGAAACACAAACGATTCAAAAGCGAAAGCAATAAGGGAATCAGGATAAACGTACCAATAAATTGGTTCCAAAATAAGAATTGCCTGCAATACTGGTCGACGGAATAAACGAAGAAAACAACAGGAAATGAACAAAAAACTATAATGGGTTTGGACATACTCAAATAAAACCTGATTCACTTGGATGTGCACACACACACACACACACGTCATCTCCCTTACCCAAACAGAGCTTTACTACAATCTCCGACCACGAAAACTGCTGCCCACTGGTTTGTTTGTGTCGCTTCACCCAGTGGGACTAACCTCGTGCTATCCAAACACGCTTTGCTAACAGGACAGATTCGTGTTGGTTGAAAGTCGAGACACTGCTCGACGAGGGTATGCCGTTGTATACAGTTCTGTCGCGCTCACTCAGTCACTCGTAAATTCGGATTCATGTACAAATATACCACGGAAAACACAGATTTCGTTTTACTAAAAATTATCCATTGGCTAGGATTGTATCTTTTTCATGAGTCTCATGTACAAACCACGAGCCGGAAAGTCAAACTACCGATTTTCAATCCTCTTTTCCAAGTGGCTGTGAAACTACAAAACACCCTGGCTTTCACTATTTTTTCTCACGAATTATCAGATAAACCACTTCAAAAGCATCCATCAGACAGTATGTTTTGCAACAAGAGTATGTACATTCAGAAAGCACAAACAAAAAGGGCGCACTCCCAAGGTACTTACCAGCAGTGCGTTCAGTTAAACCGTGGAAAGAAAACAATCGGCGCCAGGTGAAAAACTCCAATGCCGGAGATCGAACAGTTGTGGTTGAAGTGCCCTGGAACAACCGCAACACAATATTCAAAGAAATGAGTCGCATGAAAATGTACTCCACACTGGTTGTTTGCCATTAGACAACACGAAATTAAAGAAACTACAATGAATAAAAACAAAAAGTTAATTGTTACGAAATAACGACGAGTATCCCATTATCCAACACAACCTGGATTGATCACTCAGCTTGTTGACTGGGCACGGACTTCGCTAACCCGTTAAAACCGATCCAGAAGCAACAACTTAAGAGACCGATATTTCAGCCAAGTCATAAAGCGAATGCCTCTTGTGATAGACCTATTATCGGATGGGATGACGATGTTGTTTCAAATGGTGTGCATGTGTGAGAAACGACCGCACCGAATGCCATACCGTGAGAATCTCGCCAGATCACACAACTCAGATGTCAACCAAGTGGTAAGTGAACACACAAATATTTTGACCCTGTATGTGGACTACATTGCTCTTACGGATTAAATTTGTACCACATAAACTGGGCTACAAATCGACATGCACTTGCGGTGGATCACGATGCACCATAATATTGCCCAAATTCCGTCCCGGGGATATTTGATTGGGTGCGTCAGATACGATGGGTTTAGTGCTACAGTACCCATGCAAACATGGTTTTTGTGATACATCTTCATGTCTCACAGCCAGAAGTTGATAACGCGCCATAGGTTAATAAAGGGTACCATTATCTAGTGTCATGACAAAAAGAAAAACGGTCGGATTTTGTTCTACATTACGTGGATACGACGGAGCAATTTTTGTTTTCGAGTAAACAGAATGAAATTGATTTTGTCTACGGGGTTGGGTACTTTTGATCCTGGAATGATAAGAAAAAATGGTGACGAGAAACCGTCTTCTCAACATGTTCTTATTATAATGAGACAACTGAAATGACTATGAAGAGATAGAGCGAGCGACGTTAGAAAACTGAAGGCGAACAAATAGCGAGGTTCCAAATCATCATCCAGATTTGATTGCATCGAATGTGTTACTTACTTACCTATTACCGGATGCGTTTCCTTAACATCTGGTCGCCGAGAAAAGTAGTGGGTGAATGATCCATGAGTGAAAACACATGATGGGTGTGGGAAACGCACATATGAGCGACTTACTTACCTACTTTAGTGCAGCTGTCTCCTTGGAAAGGATGAGCCGGCTCCAGACATGATCATGAAGCTCCTTGGGAGTTTGGTACGAGAGACGTCCTCAGAGTCACTCGGCGTTTTTTATTTTGAGGGCGCACCTCTAGCTTTTGCACGACCCAGTGCGAACTGCAAGGCAGCAGGAAGTAATCCCTCGCCTCGGAAGTGAGGGGGTCAATGACTTTAGTTTTAAAAGGCCAGTCACATCGACCTTGTCACGACACCGTCATTGGGCTTATACGGCTTTTAAACATGAGCCAGGTGACCAGCCTGAAACCCACCACACTCTGGTAGTGCCACCGCTGTTTGTTCGCGACTGCTTATTTGTCGCGGTATGCCACAGCTTATTCACAACCAACCTTCTTCGGTGAAGATATCCCCCTATCCACAATCCGGGGACGCGCCGGGTAGCATTCAGCTCGTTTAACCCGAGGGTAACCAGGACATATGAGAGACGTCGACATCAAAGGGATTATCCAGCAGGATGGGAAACCCTAATTGACATAGTGGAGCGATCGGAACGGTGATGTTCTATAACTCAATCTCGCACGTTTCGCCTAAAATGTTACACTGTGTTTGCCAATTAATATTTTTCAACTTCAGGAGATTGACCGAAATCCCAAAATTCAAATGTTAGCGTGACAATATTCAAATCTGAAATTGAATAACTGCCAGTGAATGGACCTGTGTTGTCAAATAAAAATACTGGTAAAGGTCCACTCTCAATAGGGAATGGTATTTGCTTGACTTCCGTTCCAATAACTGCAAGTTGCACTTAATTCTCCATTTACTTGCAGTCTCTCGGCCCTGATTAACACACAATTTTGCGGAGTATTACATTAAAAATCTACACTAGCTAGCAGACAGTCATTGCACGTGGAAACGAGATCTGTGGGATAGACAGAAAACATCAAAAAATCATTGTGAACATGAATCTCACCTTGTTGATCTCAGTACGAACTGGAGGCAATGAGGCACCGAGGAAAAGTAAGCCAATCACATTAAGCAGAGCCGAACCGTATCCAATGTGTTGGAGTAATCGAGCGGATTGAAAGTGGTCAGCCAGGCTCGAAATCGTAAGCGCGGACGTGAGCGGTCCTAGAGTGAACCCGATACTGTAGGCCGCGCCGACCACAGCCATGGCTCGACTACGTGAACCTGTCTGGCTGTGGTCACTAACAAGAGCTGTTAACACAGCCACGTTTGCTCGAGTTGCACCGCATAGCAGACGAAAGCAGAAGAAACAAGTGAACGATGTGCTCAACCATGCGGTCAAGAGATGAGCGATCACACTGAGGGTCTAAGAAAAACAAATGAAATAGAACAGGATACACAACTTTGGCGATCACAACTCTCATTTCGTTCTACGGTAAGAGTTTTGCGAATTTGGTACGTAATCATTATTGAATCTGGCACAATAATAGTGTTAATTAATATGCGATTAGTTTGTAAATGCAATGATGAGGTTGGTGACGATGGATCTAAAACATCACCGTTGAAAGTAGTCGCCCGATAAAACTGGAAAATGAATTGGGCATAATGGATTTATTCGTCTGTGAACAGATATACCTAAAGCGACCGTTTATGGGGTAAAATTGGCTATCATCATAATATTGATTTATCGGTTCAGATTTTTAAAGCTTGAAGTGAATTCTCCCTCCCCACCCCAGTATCACTAATCCACTTTTTCTACTCCATTACAACTTTTTGAAAAGAGAAAGCGCAAATTCCGTCCTTTTATTCCCGTACTATTCACCTGATAAGAAGCTCAATCGTGGTTTTTTAAACTTGAATGTACTAGCATGCGCACAAGTCCTAAGTACATAATGGAAATGATAGAAAACGATAACATCAAACAGGAAAATAATTGGGAATATCCTAGGTGGGTAAACCAACACGGTCAATAGACCTACGGTCAACGACCTAACCAATGTCCTTGGAGAAAAGGCACTACTTTTCACTGACGACCACAAAACACGGAGAACGGTACAACATCGTCAAGATCATGAAACCCTACAGGAAACTCTCGACGCATCTTACCGATAGTCTATCATTAATGCCATCGAATTCAACGTTGATAAATGTCAGGTGGTATTGCTGCGTCCCAGGGCTCGATTTCTATTCGTACTTGGAAATCAGCTATTACCGCAAGTTACAAACTAGAAGGATCAGGGAGTCATTGCTCGTGAGGATCTAGGATGTTTAACACATCGCGTTAGAGCGTCATCAAAGGCCATAAAGCAAGTTGGGTTAATAAAATGTGTTTTTGAATTATTCGAAGCAGACCTCAGGCCCCGTTTGCTATCAGTATACATTAGACCACACACCGAGTATGCGATACTGGCTTGTAATGCATGGCTAATTCGCGAACAAAAGGCCCTAGAATGTCCGCAGAGAACAGCAGCCAAAACGGTCAAAGGGTTACAATCTAAAACCTACCGTAGAAGCCTGCGAATTCTCGGACTCTATTCATCTGAGTAACGTCAAATACGGGGAGACATGATCCTCGTATATCAAATGCTAGATCAACCTAACCTCTACTAACAATATCCACGAATGGTCACCTCCGAGGATATCCATTTAAACTTTTGTTCCAAAAGAGTCGGCTAGACTGCACGCGTCACTCTTTCAGCCTAAGGGTTCGTAAGACGTGAAACTCTCTTCCACCTCAAGTTGTTTGTGCACCAAACATAGATTCATCTAAGCGACGGCCCGATGAAGCAGTGAAACACCCAACTGTTCAGTACCCGTGAGTGAACATTATAGTTTGCTATTCAATTGCACTACCAACCGAACCCAGTGTGTACAGATCCTATGGGATTCAGTAAGCAGCAGCTTTGTAATTTACTCGTAATAAAAGCTTGAATTTAACCAATTTACAAAAGGGTCCGATAAAAAATGACATGCTTATAATGTGTTAGTGGTCTAAAGCGAACGGCTGTGACCGTGCAGTGGATGCAGACTGACAGGGTAACACGCTTGACGGTTATCGACATCTCTGATTCACCACCGTTTCCATACGTGTACCATGCTAGTACGAGTGATGGTATGATGTATCAGCTGCTTGCAGTACGGGTTTCTCCTATCCGTATACTCGAGCATAGGTAACATCAGGCTGAACAATATCCTGATAGTGTTTCTCATCACATTCATCCTTTGTTTAGATGAAAATCGCGTCCACTGTACTGTGGGTGCGTGAGCTGATGCTATACATTTGATCGCTTAATCTTCCTCATTTCAGATATTCTCGAGCGTAATGTATAGAATCTGACGGTATTTCTAGGAGGAAAATACGTTCTCCCCTTGGTTGTTTCTTTTCTGTTGTCCCCTTTTTGTTAACCGGGTTTATGTGTACAGGATAATTCGCAGATCAAACGCTTATAGGTAATAAATCTGTAACAATCATTTGGCAATAAATTAACTATATTGTGTTATTGTATTGCGGATCGTCAACAAAAGTAACCGAAATTCAAAGGCCTCGCGTGACAGGTCTCCAGAAGCTCCCACACCGGTGCTTCGTTCACGCTCCTGCGTTGGATGTACGACCCACTGCTTTGTGGGTCAGGCCGGAAGAGCAATGCTGAGGTTAGGCGTACAGTTTTAGGTAGTCACGGTTGGACCACTGCAGCAAGTAGTCGACCTCCACAGATTACGTTGGTTGGGGCATGTGTTACACATGTCACCAGATAGGTTGCCACGGCGAACGCTGTTTGCCGAGGCAGGTAGTGGACGGAGAATGGTCAAGGGTGGTCAAACGAAGACTCGGAATAAGGGTGTGAAAACCCTAGCAAGGATACTGGGTCACATAGGTCCCGTTAGGCTCGCTGGCTGGGGACCCCGAGATGGTCACCGATGGTTAGAGACATTGAGCGATATGGTTGGGAGTCGCAAACAGTGGCGCTCATGCATTTACTCCTTATTCTCTTAAAACCAGTCTATACGAATTCTATATCTTCCACCTGACTTTGCTTTTAACATTCCAATCTTCATTCTGCACTTTGATCCAAATAGGCGATCAAAAGACAGAAACCAAACGCGGCACACGAAAGTGCATGGTTAATGGTTGTAAAAACGGAACAAAACTCGTATAGTAGAAAAATCTGCAAACTTCCGTGCGAAAACATTTTCATACGTTTTGTAGAAGAGAAAAATGCGAAATCATATAACAGTTCTGAACGTTACCTGTAAAGTGATTAACAATGGATTGCGACTGTAGACATCTGATAGTGCCCCAGCCATAGTGGACGACAAACACTGACAGAGAGAAAATGCGGAGGTGATAAATCCTTGGAAAAGTTGTTTTGATGACCTTGTTATTGAATGTACTCACCGCCCAGTACAACGTTATCCCATGCGGAATTGCGTTCATTGAACAATACTAGGCTGATTCTTTCAATAACTTTCTTCAAAAAGCCATGCAAGTAATCCTGTGATATGAGGCGAAAAACAAGTTCGAAACATACCGAGCGCTCCTCGAAAGACTCAAACACAGTCGGTAACCACGGTAGAATCAGACTGAACGAAAATATATCCAAAACGAGGTAGCAGAATGCAATTATGAGAAGTTTCTTTTCACTCATGATGCTAGAATGAACAAATAAAACGAGATGAATATTAAGGGTAATTTTTTAAGCCCAAAGCGGAAGCACTGGTTCGCAACAATCGCTAACAGAGAAAACTCGAATAAATAATGCTGACGCGTTTGAAACAGCGCTGAATAGATGGAGTGAAACTTTAATTAGCTTGCACAAGCATTTCATCACATACCTCAGCGTGACGAAAGGTGCATATTAACACGTGGAAGTATTAGTCTGTGGTAGTCACACTGAAGACTGCCATCGGCAACGATTGATCACTGCTGTGCATTAGAGATTCGACTTTAAGATATCAGTAATATAAGCTAATTAGATACAGCAGGCTTGTTTTCAATTAAGCTTCCGTGCAATTCAGTGGACGATGAGGTCGATTAGTGGGGCAGTGTGAGGTGTATATTATACTGAACGAGAGAGTTGAAGCCTCAATTTTCGACCGAAATCCCGATAACAACCCCTGTACACTGCGGTCCTCAGGCTCAATCAATGTCCTTAAGGGAAATAACATTTAAAATATTTGATCATTAAGAACACGATGTAGGCGAACATGTTTTCGGTGAATTCCTTTGCAAGCCTTTATATGAAACAATCGTACGCTGAGCCGTCTCGAGCTACAAGGACATTTCCTAAGCCATCCCGAACGATACGTGCATGATTTTTACAGTATCCAGTTGAGCCATGTTCTATCACTTGGATCCAAATTTTGTTGTTCTCGTCGTAAAAAAAAGTGGCCAATTCACAAGCATTGATGATGTCACCTCGGCTGTCTGTTTGAAGATCTCAAACCCGTTGGCTCTAAGGTGCCCCGCCTATATGGTCTACCCAAAATACACAAACCTGGTATACCAATGCGTTTCATTAGCTTCATGACAAATTTACCCCGGCATGCAACTTCCCGTTGGTTAGCCAAACTTTTGGAACGCATACGTCAACGTGCCGCCAAGCCAAGAGATACTATTCAGTTTGTTGAAATAACCAAAAACGCGAACATTAACAACCGACAGATGTTCTCTTGGGATGTTGCTGTACCCCTATTAGGAACGGTTGACTTCATTTGTGATTCCACCATCACTACGAGACTACATCTTGACGTGGTGTGATGGCTTGTGCACCTCTGTGACCCAACGAGCTACAAAAGATGGCTTTATAAAGCCAGGAGATCTTATCATGCCTTGAAGGTCAATGGGTAGAAGTCGGACGAAGTCCAGTCTCCTGGTCCTCTAGGAGAATCTTCCCTGATAGGCCATGGACGGAACGAATGCAGCAACAGTCCGATCCAATGAG